TCTCATACAGTTTTGTGAAGACATGCCTCTCACACTAAAATCTCTCCTTCCTCAACCTTTTTGCTGCAGATGCCATGATATATTGATATCAAAATTAAAGAAACTTAAAAAAAAATAAATTAAAAAAAAAAATCACTTCACATAAGTGAGGTGTTTAAATGCATCAAAACCAAAACTCTCCTACTTGAGAGGAAAAGTCTTGAGAGATGCTGCTATGCCTAACGTCAGACAAACCTACTTTGGCGCTGGATTAGCACTTCTCTTTCCTCTTAAGCAGAATTTCCATTCTAAGCAGATTTTCCAGTAAAATTAACATGTATCTACTCTGAAGACAGCTCTTGCATCTCAGACTTAGGTTGATTGTTCAGGTATTCTTCAACTTATTGGCTGTCATATTCTCCAATAATTTTACATTATATATACAATTATCTACTCTCTTCAAGATCTTCCTTGATTCAAGATTCAAGAAAATCCCTTATTTCCCAAAACATAATTTATCTTTTCCACCATGGCAAGAACCATAATTATAATAAGGAAGAGACATACAGCTTCTTGGGTGGCAATTTAATTCACTAATTTGCAAAATTTTCTTCTGTTTATGAAGTACAGATTTTGAATTAAGGCATTCCAGTACTCTAGCAACTTTTTAAGGGTTTTTCCTGACTCTTATTTTTTCATACTATTAGTACTTAGCCTTTCAGAGAGAAATGTTGAAAAGAAATGTGAAGAGAAGGAATGGCAGAAGGTAAACTGAAAATTTATTGCACTCAAGTAATTCATCCTTCCTCCTCTCCTATCATTACTATTGCCCATATAATGCCTTAAGTGGGCAGTCAATCTTGTATTTCATGTATAATGAAGGTCTCAGCAGAGAAGGCAAAGTTGCATTTTACAGTTTTATAGCGTTCGGTCTCAAGTTGCAACATTGCTTTCCATTTTATGGTCAGTAAGACATATTACAAGCCTGCCCTCCCAAAACATATGCTGCTTTTAAAACATTTATTTTTTAGTAGCAGTAAGGGCAGAAGATGTGGAGATAGTAAACTCCTTGCTAATGTTCTCTTTAAGCTATTGAGATCTTAATTCTTGCAAGAGAAGAGTCCTGATGAATTACATAGTTATCTTCAACTTTAGATGGAAGTAATAAAGGTGTATATTTAAAGCCTTTCTGCACAACAGTAGCTTAGGCTTGGCTCACTGTCACATTTCACTTGCAGTAGCTTACGTATCACAGGAAAGACCGAGAAACATGGCCTGAATAGATCTTCATTTATTTAGTAGGAATGGATCACTCAACAGACTAGTTTGAGCTGAAAGCAGCTCCACGGTCAAGAAATATTGCTAGTCAGGGCTAATTCTTTATTGAAAGGACAGTGTTTTGATAATAACATGCAGGCACATAAACGTTAAGTAAAAAGTGGTAATTGCTTTCTGATCTGGACTGTAGCAAGAACACAAGAAGTAATTCTTCTATTAAAATTAGTGATATTAAGCAAATAATAACAACAAAAACTCATACAAAACTGAGAATTTTGGGGACTTTCAGTTGGGTTGTATGAATGCTTACTATACTTTGATGTTTTTCCTTATGACACTTTTAACTGTTCCTCTGGAAAAGCCTGTTAAAATGCTTAATTTAAGGCTAATATGATTAAAAATGTCACAATACCTAAGTATAAATTTGATTATTAACCTTGACACCACGAAATTTAAAGGACCGATGGTATATCAAAAGATTAAATCTGCTGAGATAAATCAGTTCTTCTCCAGTTTATGATCTTAAAAAGAATAAATTCAGTCTAATGATCCCTGAGGTACATTACGGATCAGCCTCCAGCTGGACTTTGCACCACTGACCATATCCCTTTGAGCCCAGCAGTTCAGCTTAATTTCAGTCCACCTCACTGTCGTCTTATCTAGCCTATACTTCTTCAGTTTGTTTATGAGGCTATTATGGGAGGCTGTTGAAAGCCTTGCCAAAGTTGAGATAAACAACATCCACTGCTCTCCACCTGTCCACTGAGTTAGTCATGCCATTGGGGAAGGCAATCATATTGGTCAAGCATGATTTCCCTTTTGTAAATTCATGCTGACTACTCCCAAACAAATTTTTGGCCAACATATGAATGTTTGGAAATGGTTTCCAAGATTATTTACTCCACCACCATCCCAAGAAACAAGATGAGGCCCAGGGGCTTGTAGCTCCCTGGATCCTCCTTCTTCCAGACAGGAATGACACTCACTTTCTTCTAAACTTCTTCCAAACTTCCCCCTAATTGTCCTGACCTTTCCAAGATTACTGAATGTGGCCTCGCAATGACATTGGCCAGCTCCCTCAACACTTGGTGCATCCCATCAGGTCCTATGGACTTGTGTTTGTCCAATTTGTTTAAGTGCTCCTTAATCTGATCCTCCTCCAACAATGCTAAGTCTTCCTCGCTCCAGACTTTCCCACTCATCTCAAAGGCCTGGGATTGCACAGTGCCAGTCATACCAGTAAAGACCAAGGCAAAGGCATTGAGTACCTCAGTCTTTTCTGTGTCCTTTGTCATCAGATCCTCTCTGCCTCATTTAGCAGAACAGGACAGTAGCAGACACCAATTGATTTTGAGGAAGTAAAAGCAAAAAAGTAAGAGGAAAATGAAGGCCAAACCAGAGGATTCAAAGAGATATTGAGGCAGGCCATCTGGAACACAACATTATAAGATCACACAGCTAAGAACTTTTATAATGCACAGGTATAAGATTAAAACCATGAATTTCATAATTTGTCAAAATTTTCTCATTTTTTTAAATTATTGCAACTTTAGCAATGCTCATAGATGTAGTTTTGTGAGAGAAATGGAAATAGAAGCAAAAGAAAAGGGGATACTCATATGCATACACCATACTATTTCTGTTGTCCTCTGGCAAACAGAATATAGAACTCATGAATCAAAAAAAGCTATATACAAGTCGATATAGCCAGGCAGTACCTGTAAATTCCCATACAGAGAAAGCATATATAGTCTGCCTTCTCATTCCAATCTTGCACTTCTCTGAAAGTAGAAAAGTATAATTAAGTGAAATTGTAAGAGAGAACTGTAATGCAGATAAATGTCCCCCGCCAGTAACCACAACAACTCATCTTCACCTGTGACCCAGAGCCAGATATGCAACCAGGTTTGCACTAACAGGTTACACTAACCTACTAAGTTATCTGTCCTATTAGCATGATTTAATAGAATTTATTATTATTTGTTGAGAATGGCAATATTGAAATTAAATTGTTCTTTTTGGGTGTCAGTTTTGGGGAGCCTTTAGAACTAAATAATTATTAAAACCTACTGTACGATTGCTGATAACTATATGACAACTCATTAAAAAAACAAACACATTTTAATATTCTAATTTATTATGTACTCAGGCAACTAAAACAACACTTTCAATAAGTGGCTCCTTAAAATGCATCATCCATAGAAATTACGCTTGGAATGAGACATTTAGGGTTTTTTTTTGCCCAGTAGCATCCACTAGATCTGCACTTTATGGTTCATCTTCAGACTTTATAACTTAAGTAAAAGTTTAGCGTTAAATAAGATGCGTTTTGACGTTCATGTTCTCCCCACCAAGTTCCCACAAGCCAGAACAAGGCTATCCACACCTCAACATCCAGCTATTACTAGAGCCTACAATAAAGAGAACAGACAGTGGGGTTGAGGAATATATATATGCAGCATTTATAGTGAGCCACAACACTGTCCAGGTAGCTAGCCGTTCTCCCTGCAAGTTGTCATCTCTGCACACGGGACTCAGATAACACCCAGCAGAGCAGAGTGCTTGTGACTGTAACACTGCTCCGCTAAAGCAAGCGCTAGACACAGATAACAAGAAAATAATACATCGCAAATACACCTACTTACTGTAGGGTATGTTACTTTAGCTAGGGAAGCCCCCTGAGTTAACCATAAGATCAGACTCAAACTATGAGTTGACAGCTAGAAATCGATTTCTATTAGATGCAGGGGATATAGACCGACCTGTTGATCTTATCAGCAGAATAATTCAACACATTTGAGAATATCTAGAATAATTTGCTTCTATACAAATAAAATGAGAAAAGCAACGGAATATTCAAAGCATATATGAGGTAGAGGATATGCTCAAATAAGACTTATGGAAGATGATATGCAAATAGATTATCCATAATTCAGACAGGTCAGAAATCACTCAAGGCAAAAATGACACTAGACAATCTTTTACATATGTGGCTTATGAGCCATTCTTCTGGAGTTCTTTCCTGATCATCATCAGACTACCCTTTCTTGGTGTTAAGTACCCATCCAAAATTAATGCTGAAAGACACAACGAAGCTAGGGTCAAGAAGCAAAAGGGAGAAATCATACAAGGAAATAGAAGTAATAATTATTACTAGTCAAACAGTTTATCAGATTTGAATACCAGAATTGCCTAGGTCAGTCTTAAATGGAACAGGTCATTTTGTCTAACCTTACTCAAGCAATCATGAGGTGTCAAACTGACCTTGCAAGCTGGGCAAGATTTATAATTTGGAACCTTGGTCTCTATTACCTTCCTAAATGGCATTAAAGGCAATACAAAATTTATTCTAAAAATTCTGAAAAGCTAGCTCTCAAACCCACCACCAATACTGCCAACTGCATGTGACTAGAAAGGAAAATGAAGAGAAAGTGATTACTGTTAGCACTTCCTTCCTGAGATCATTCATGGAAAGAAGAAAGTGAGGTTCATCACACTTCATCCTTTATGCCTAGCTAGAAACTACAAGAAAACACAGAAAATATTTCATGAAGGCTGCTAGTAAAAAGATGCTGATCTTGGAACAGAAACACAAGGAAAGGATATACCTATTGGTAGGCAATAACTTCTCCCCCAGAAAATACTTTCAGTGGCAAGCTGTCACGGTATCTCTATGAATAACAATTTTAAAAGCCCACAAAAGGAACATTAGAAGGAAGAATATAGTGGAAGAATTATTTCACCTTTTTGACAATCTTTCCACACAGTTTGTCGATTCTTCTCATAGTGTTTATTCAACCAGGTGAGGATGGTTCGTTCATATGGAGAATATATGTTACTGGATAAAGGTTCTGATTTTATTCTTGGCATTTTCTGCAAGCTTTCCAAGCTGAACAGATCAGTGATATTACTTGAAGAAGCACGTGGAAGAACAAACACCTGAAATTAGAAAAAGTGTTTTTAAGCACAAACTGTAAAACAAACAATTTCAAGTGGAATGATAAAACCCCACTTCAAACTCAAAAGGTTTTTTAACTTAGAAAAGGTTTAAGAGATTGCACATTAGCATAAACGTATAACACATAAAAGAACAGCTTTTGCTAAGGTTTTGGGAAATTCCTTTGCTTCCTTAAACAAAATGCAAACTGAAACTTCCAAATGGTCTCGGGAGTCTGGAGAGGTTTCAGTCAACTGGAAGCTGTCAAACATTGTCCTAATTTTCAAGAAGGGTAAGAAGGAAGACCTTGGTAATACAGGCTAGTCAGTCTCAATTCAGTGCCTGGTAAAATTATGGAGAAGGTTATTCTGGGAGTTATTGAAAAACACCTGAGAGACAATGCAGTCATTGGTCACAGCCAGCATGGGTTCGTGAGGGGAAAGTCCTGCTTAACCAACCTAATTTCCTTTTATGACAAGGTCGCCTATCTAGTTGATCAAGGCAAGCCAGTAAATGTAGTGGGTTTGGATTCTAGCAAAGCTTTTGATGCCATCTCTCACAGTATTCCTCTGGACAAAACATCGAGCATACAGCTAGACAAGTCCATAATATGATGGGTCAACACTTGGCTGGCGTTTCAGGCTCAAAGTGTTACAGTCAATGGGGTTACGTCAGGCTGATGGCCAGTCACCAGCGGGGTTCCCCAGGTCTCAGTTTGAGGGCCAGTGCTTCATCTACACACTACTTTTGCTTATTTTATTTTTCCCAAATGAAATGACAGCATAGAAAAAGGTATTTGAAGGAGGAACACAACTTGATTTTCAGGATGATGATGATGTCAACAGCTTTGGTTCCATCCTCCTCCATCAAAGAGGCCTCAGGACTGACCACTTTGACCAGTGACTAAGACTATCAAGGACCGTAGCCATAAATACTAACTACACTGCATCAGCTCCATAGAGTCTATATTCACAGATAATTTAGGATGAGTTTGTTAAGGACTAATTGTTTGGAGGAGGAAAAAAGAAGGGAAAAAAAAAAAAAAAAAGACTAACAACTAATCATTGATAATGTCTATTGACAATGAATGCCAATCCAGTAAAATGTTATTTTGAAGTGTGAACTGGGCCCAGTTTCAGGCTACTTTATTTCACCTAATTAGAACAAAAACAGCTTGCACCCTTTTTATAGTTGTTTCTCTTCATATTAATTTCAAATACCAGATTTTAACAGGTACATTAGTGAGAGCATCAGTTTGAGACAAAGTGTTAAAACTTTTTAATCCTTCCATGCTGCAGATGGAGAGGGACACTCTTGAACATGGTAAGATGCAGCTACAGCCATGTGGCTTCACAGTTTCCACATTTACATCCATATTATTTTTTTTTTCCTTCTTCCAGATAACATGAAGGACTCATCATCCATTGCTTTCAAGTTTTTCTGAAGAAAACCTTTTATGATATACTAATATATGAAACCTAGTTAACAATTAAAGTACATGAGACCCAAATTATAGCATCCATATTTAATTACAATTAAAAAAAGAAACTTGAGTCACTTTAAAATTCCTTTTTAAACCCTGAAGCATTTTAGGTCAGCACAATGTAGCTAACTCAGTTTAAATATTTGGATTTCTCTCCATGGCATTTTATTGATTTGCAAGAAATCTCAAACTTTTATATCAGCATCCCCAGACACAAATCTGAAGAAAACAGCAAAAAAAGCAAGCAAATACATACTATTTCATGCTTTCTCAAAAGGCAGTGTCTTTACAGGTTAATCTATTGCAATGTTCCTTCATTAGTATAACCTGCTGTTCTATCAGAAGGATCAAAACAGGAAAGAGTAATAGAAACCATATTTAGAAGAAAATATGAAACATCTTTTACCCATAAAATATTATTTTACTGTCTCTTAACAAGAAAAGTCCAATCCATCCTAATCCAAGATGGCCACATGTCCACCTTTCTTTTGAAACCCTGTTGGGGGACCAGGACATTAGCATACACTGGCTTTTTGGACCATACTGTATTTATTTAAAAAAAAAAAAATATCAGCTATTAGGTTAGGAAATGTTATTAATTCTAACTATAAGAAGCATCCTTATTACTACATGCTCATTAAGTTTACAGATAGATTGTCTTTATTGAAAATCTGGCTTGACCCAAGAGCTAAACTAGCACTTCTGCTGTCAGTGCTCATGTGTTTCCCTTAGCCTAAACTTTCAAGATTTGTAGAATACCATTGCTATTTTAGTTCTTGCTCAAAAAGAGAACCAAAAGTATGTCTTTACGATAGATTAATTTCTCCTTTTGTTCTCCACAGGCTTCACCCTTTCTTCAGAATAAACTTCATTTTTTATTTTTCTGAGCTGGATTTACGTGTATGCTTTTTGCTCTGGAACTTCTGCAGCAATAGAAGTTTTCATAAAAAATAAGTGGACGATAATGCATCAGGTATAGGCATGCAAGCAGTATGGGATGACATTTTAGTTGATAAAGAATAATATTAAGTATTTCTAATAACAGCATTTTATTTCTAAAATAAAACTGAAAAACAAACCATCTCTGGTGAATAGATGAATTCTTTTAATATTTTCTGAAATTTGCAGCATGCTATATGAGTAAGAAAGGACTCTTTCCTCTTATCTTGCTTGAAATCAGGTTATCGTAATCACATAAAGGCTTATCTCTACTTTCATTTTCATGAAACTGCTTTTATGATATGAAACATTCTCTTAATTTCAGAATATTTCAACTCTAGCCCAAACAAATATTTTTTATATAAACCAATCTTTTTGTCTTGACAGTTCATATCGTGTTTTCTTTACTGTTCCAATGCTTTCTTTACAAATTTAATAATAAATAAATAAATAAATAAATAGACCTTGTTCAGCAGTAGTCATGGTCACCCTTATCAAAAATGGGTTTGAACAAAAAAAGTATAGAAGAGAGAGAGGACTTTGAATGTTCACGATTTCCAATGTAAAGTCATGTTAACTTAAGAGTTCTGGTTGTGCTTTATTATATTAAACTGAATACCCTGTTAGCCAAACTGCATAAGGCTACAACAAAAAAGTAAAGCAGAGAAGTATAATTCCTAAGACATTAGCAGGAGAGACACAGAATATGGATATGATGTTATAAGGCTGTAAAAATGTACTATTATAGGATAGAAAGATGAAGGAGCAACGAATGAGAAGGTGAAACATGTTTCTCATGCATGAAACAGAACTAGAATGATGAAGAGCACATCTTCACAATAGGCTTAAGTTGACCTAAACCTGAACTCTTATGTATTCCCAGCCACCATGTGTTCTGCCTGGTGTGTCTACATCAATGGTCAGAGAGATGAAAGATCTGTTTGGAAGCACCACCCCATGCCAGTAGTTCTAGCATACGGAAAGGGGCAGAAAAATGCAGCCAGGAAAACCTGGCTTTCCCCACCATCCAAGACATGTTTTTTCAGTTGTAGCTCGCACCTACATTAGTGTAAATTCATGACGATGCTGTGTTCCCAGATACTGGAAAGGTTACAAAGTGTATTTAAGAAGATGGCACCTGATATGCAAGAAGTTTTCCTTCATGAGAACATAACCAATAAACCTCCAGCATTCTGCCTGCGTCTGTTCATCTTGGGTGAACCATTCTGCTACCCCACAATAAACAACTGCACATCCGTACATACAAAAAACAAAGGAAAAAAAAAAAACAGAAACAAAAAGAACAGAAACAAACAAAAAAAACCCCACAAACTTTTTCCTCTAAGCCAAAAATTCAATGAAGACACTTGTATTCTCCACAGCAACGACCTGATTTTTTTGTTCTTATAAAGAACAGGTGAGCATCAAACTATCAGCTTGATTTTATATTCTATAATCTTTGAAGGAGCAGATTAATCACAACTGGGTTTGGCTGTTGTTAACAATCTAGCCACTCTCTGATAACCTTGAGAAAATATGCAGAGAAAATATTTTGTTTAAGTTAATTATTGTTTTTAATATTATCTAATCATAGTAAATAAATCACAAGATTTATTTGAATGTGGTAAACAAATATTATTTCTTCACTGGTTTGATTTACTAAGTTTAATCAAAATCTCATCAGACCCCACTTCTAACAATACAAAAAATAAAGTTAATGATACACTACAGAAATGATCAAAATAAAAAATAATCTTTTTTTTTTTTTTGGTTTGAAGTTGTCTTTAAACTGTTACTGTAAGAAGTACCAGAAATTTTCTTAAGTGCCAAATTGCAATTATTAATAATTTGATCAAAACTGAAGTTAACTTCTTTTTTACCTAGGCATCAATAATATCTTATTAAAACAAAAGTCATAACTGTTTTAATAGATGAAACTTTTTGACAGCACACATGTGAATATTTAAGGTATATTTCTCAATATACCTGTGGTAGGTTGACCTTGGCTAGCTGCCAGGTGCTCACCAAAGCAGGGGAATCTGTTCCGGCACCTGGAGCGCCTCCTCCCCCTCTTTCACTGACCTTGGTGTCTGCAGAGTTGTTGCTCTCACATATTCTCTCTTTTCTCTCCAGCTGCTGTTGCACAGCAGTTTTTTCCCCTTCTTAAATATGTTATCAGAGAGGTGCTGCCACCACCACCGATGGGCTCGGCCTTGGCCAGCAGCAAGTCTGTCTTGGAGCCAGCTGTCATGGGCCCTATTGGACATAGGGGAAGCTTCCAGCAGCTTCTCACAGAAGCCACCCCTGTAGCACCCCTGCTACCAAAAGCTTGCCATGCAAACCCAATATAATCCCTGATTGACTCAAGCCATTTCAAGTTACCTATTTTTTAGAGTTTCATCTCACAAGGAAAAAAAAAAAAAAAATATTCAAACTGAAACAAAACAGCATACACACATACTATTAATTTGGGTTTTTTTCTGCTCTACGCTAGTTTGTCACATAGCTATGAATAATTCAGCAAATTGAAAGAATAGCAAAGTTACTCACTTTCTGCTCACTATGATTGCATTTTTCCACATCTGTGTTCCCGTGTGTCCTTACGGTCATCTGTTCCAGCCCACGTTTACATACTGTTCGTTGTCTGTTCCTCTCTCAGCTATTTTTCTCATTGTTTTACTTTAGATCAACTCTACATCTTTGTCACATAGCTTCCTTAACATATTTTTTTGTCATTCTTTACTAGGCTTTTTCAGTAAATAATCCCACAATCGCAAAAGAGCTGAGGTTGGAAGGCACCTCTGGAGATTAGCTAGTCCAAACCTCCTGCTCAAAGCAGAATCAGCCAGAGTGGGTTGCCAGGACCATGTTCAGCTGGGTTTTGGATATGTCCAAGGATGGAAACGCCACAACCCCTCTGGGCAAGCTGCTCCAGTGTGTGACCACCCTCACAGTAAAAAAGTTTCTTATGTTTAAATGGGATTTCCTGTTTTTCAATTTGTACCTACTGCTTCTCACCTTTTCACTGGGCACTACAGAGAAAAGTCAGGCGCTGTCTTCTTTATACCCTCCCATCAAGTATTTGCACACATTGATAAGACACTCCCCCTTGAAAATTCTCTTCTCCTGGCTGAACAGTCTCAGGTCTCTCAGTCTCTCCTTGTATGACAGATGCTCCAGGCCCTTAAGTCATTTTTGGGACCCTTCACTGGGGTCAAACCTACAGTACATCCATGTCTGTCTTGTACTGGGAAGCCCAGATAATATTTTTTTTTTCATTTATTTTCCACCCTTTTGAATAGAAGTAAGTAAATATTTATTTTTAGCCATACAAATGTTACTGATCATTGGTGAGCACATCAGATTCACCTTGGAGACATGATTTAGACACCCAAAATTTTTATCTAGCATCAGTAAAAATAAAACTGAATAAAATTTGAGAAGTCCATACTGACCAAGTTCATTATATTTTAAAAAGAATAGGTATTCTAAAAAATGCTTACCTGTTTAAAAATTCCATTCTAATATAAAACAATAAATTCCATGGTTATGTATATGTCTAGTCAACTAAGTGTTTCCAGTGAAAAGTGTTTCTAATCAGGGTAACAAAAAAGCATGGCAGAGTTTTCTTTATTTGTAATAAGATTTCTGTAACATTTAATTCTACAAAACACAGACTGTTCTAACATAGGATTTCCTAATTGAAACATATTAACGCACTGCTAGTTTCAGAACTAAGAAAAATAAATTTAGAGTGAAAACACCCACTGTTAGAGAGAAATAAAATACTTAGAAGTATTTAAAGATCTGTTTGGAAAAAAAAACCACAACACTTGAATGTACCACAGATCTTTTTCAAAACAAAGTGGTTTTGCTATCAGTTCTTCAGAATTTAAGTAGTAAATGTATCTACAATTTACCTTGTATATCTGCAGTAGCACATCTGTCCAAGCTCGTTTGCTCATCATCTCAAATATGCTGTCCTCCAGAACGAACAGATGCTTGTCGCTAAGTATATCTGAGTTTTTCACATCTGCTTTTCTCAACTCATCCATACGACCCTGCAGATAAAGGAATGGGATTTATTTTCGATATGCATTTCAGCAGTTTGGATAGGAAATTCACAAGAGGACAATAATGAATCGATGGCATAAATGACTGAGAACGTCTACTGTAGTGCAATAGTAATCAGCATTAGAACTATGAGTCTTCAAATGATTGACACTAAGCATGTGGTCTTTGTTAAAAAAAAATAAAATAAACAAAACAAACAAAAAAACCCATACCAACCGTCAGAACAGTTTGCATTTTAATCCATTTCTTATAATCATCAGGTTCAAGCAGAAATTCTGGCATAACATGAGGAAGATATGCTCCTTGGCTTCTGAAATTGTGAAGTGGGGAAAAGTTAATAGGTAGGCAAGATAATTCTTTTTAGGAGCAGTCCAAATTTTTCAACTTGCTCAACCTATGTGTAAGCTCTTCTGAGTTCTGAGTACACTTTGGACTAATGATCCAGTTCTATTAATTGCTTTAGAGAGCTTCTATTTATGAAGTTTATGTTCAATTCCTATGCCTACAACTTAATGCTAAAAGCAAATATAACTCTGGAAAGACTGGCTTCTTTATGAGAATTGCTCGTCCATAAAGAATTTATTATAGCATGAAGCATCAAAACACATAATACCCATTTCCACATGAAAACCAAAGGACCAGTGTTACATAACATTAGTAGAAAGAAAACTTGATGATGTTTTAATCTGTCTGCAGGTCTGATATTGGAATTCTTCCAGGTGTAAGCAAAGGTATTTCAAAACACTGATAATTGTTAAACTGGCCTGCCATCTGTTCTCAAGTGACTAATAAACGCAAGAGGAAAAGTAAGCGCAGTAGCAAAGGGCAACTTCATTAAACTGAATACCGTAAAAGCTAACTTCCAAGTAAAGAAAGAATATTCCTTAACTCAAATGACACAGTTTAAACTAATGTTGCTGGAAAGAGGGGAAAGTAAGGAAGGATTCTTAAATTTACCTTTCTCAGCGAAGCAGAAATTTTCCCGACTTTTAAGTCAGAAAGATTATCCTAGTGTATCTAGATCTAATTGTTCTCTGTGTTTTTAACATGGCTAATATGAATAATAATCAGATGAGCTTTTCTTGTTATATAACCAGTCTCTCATTCAAACGACGTGATCGTACTTTTCTGGTACCATACAGTCCAAATTCAATTTATTTTGTACATTAAAAGTCATACATCACAGTTTGAAAGTAGGATCATGACAACTTACTTCTCTTCCCGTAGAATTATATTTTGCTGGCAACAGCAGATCTTTTGTCTCCATATTTTACATAGTGACATTATCTTCCCAGATCATTGAAATTTCATATTTCATACAATTATCTAGCATGCTTTTTTAAACACAAATATTTTAATCAAGGACCCAAAATAGCATCAAGTTAGTAGACTGGTTCTAAAACTCACCATGTCTGAAATTCCCATTTTCCATTAAGTCATAGACTCTGTCCCATTAGATCTCTTTAAAACTTTAGTTCTTCCCAAGTAATAAAAGAAGGAAGCTACGCAACATTCATGTTTTCAGGTGTCCTATCTTTCTTTCAGTGTTTTCACTGGGTAGATATATGGGAATAGGTGTAATCTACAATTTTCATCTTCAGAAAAGCTAGATAACAATGTTACACATCATCATAGTAAAGATGGGTTCTATATAACTGAATGTTCTCATAACTGGCTGCATTTTGTTCTTGAGGAGCACTGTCTTAAAAAAATTCCTCCTCATTAAGGTCAATATTTAATACGAAGTCAGTTCTCCAAGACCAGTATTTTCACTCTGTCAAGATGTTTTTCCTAAAGACACAAAGCTTGCAACAAATTAGTTAGTTGTATTGTAAAACACCCAAACTTTTCCTTCACTGCTGTGGTAGTGTATGAAGGAAACCTGTTGAGGGAAAGAAAATAAAACTGATACTTGGAACATTGCTTGAAACAGCAAACAACATCCACCTACTCTGCTAGTGGAAAATTTGAAAGATGAATTATGCTTTATTTGATCCATGCTGACCAGAAAGTAGTGGGGGAAGCAAGCTGAGGACTGTATGTTTCTATTCTCAGAGTGCTCTCCTGGGCTTCTTCAGGATAAAATCTTCACTTTCCACAAATAACAATGAACATGCAGGGACAGCAGATCACAGATGAATTACTCATATATAGGCTGGCTCTAGATGTCTACAGACATCAGACATTTTTGTACTATGACCTATAAACAATCTTAAATAACAACTTGTGAAGAAATGCAAATATTCTAGGTGATCCTAAAATGCACAAGTAGGAAAAGAATATCCATAAATCGGGAACAATGAAGAAATCCGATAGGATTCACACAAACTAGAAGAGGCACAAAGTAAGAGGATGCGGTAATGCTAAGCGCATACTGAACAACAATGTCATTATCTAGTGTCAAAAACATATAAGCACAGGAGTCCAGCTAGAACTGCTTTTCTATGGCAACCTGCATCATTTTGCTAGGATTCTTACGGATTATTATTTCATTTCCAACCATCGGACCTCATCAATCATCAGTCATCAATATATCTGTGTTCTGAGGCACTGAACTTAGCCTTGACCAACTGGCTGCTGCTCCAGTTCTGCTCTGAATATGTCAGTGAGTTAACAGACAAAACTCAGTAAGACAGAGTTTTTATTAAAATTTAGCTATTAAATAGCTTTCCAAATTGCCCAAGAAACCACCTCAGAAACACTTAAGTCACTTAAGTATTTCTTTCCAATTGCTGTTATGCTTAGCAAAAGGGGTTGGGATCCACTTACACCAATACTCATAATTTTAAGGTAGACAACTAACATCATGTATGCTAGTTTCAAGATATCTAGATTCCATGGAAAAGACTGGACATAAGAGCCATCAGGCCCCACCATGAGAGAATTTTGACCCTATCTAGACATGCTCCAAAAATATTTCATGAAAATTCTTTAAGGAAAATTCTCTGAATGAATATTTTGATTGAAGATCCTGAACAGACTTCGTTAGGGGTAGTTTTGTGTAAGGTACACAAAACGACAGACACCTGACTGCATCCTTGCCAGAAGCTGCCAGAATATGAACAAAATAAAGTATATTATATTGGAAGACCTTTCTGGTACAACCTTAATGTAAGTAGATTAATGTCATTCTTCCATTTCTTCATCTCTGTCTTGAAGAAATATTTACACTTGTATTGTTCATTTCCAGTGTTACAAATAAACGTATACTCTCAGCTTCACAGCACACACACTACTCTATCCAAATTCAAAAAGTGCTAATCAATGATGATATTGTTCTGCCACTGATGCAATGGCTCCTCCAAATCATTTCTGACGACACAAAACTGGGAGGAGTGGCTGACATGCCAGAAGGCTGTGCCGCCATAGCGTGACCTGGACAGGCTGGAGAGTTGGGCAGAGAGAAACCTTATGAAGTTCAACAAGGGCAAGTGTAGGGTACTGCATGTGGGGAGGAATAACCCCAGATGGGGTACAGGTTGGGGGCTGACCTCCTGGAGAGCAGCTCTGTGGAAAGGGACCTGGGAGCAATGTGCCCTGGTGGCCAAGAAGGCGAATAGCGTCCTGGGGTGCATCAAGAAGAATGTGGCCAGCAGGTCGAGGGAGGTCATCCTCCCCCTCTACTCTGCCCTGGTGAGGCCGCATCTGGAGTGCTGTGTCCAGTTCTGGGCTCCCCAGTTCAAGAAAGACAGAGATCTGCTGGAGAGGGTCCAGCAAAGGGCTACAAAGATGATTAGGGGATTGGAACAAATCTCATATGAGGAAGGGCTGAGGGACTTGGGTCTCTTTAGTCTAGAAAAAAGAAGATTGAGGGGGGGGAGCTTAATAATGCTTACAAATACTTAAAAGGAGGGTGCCAGGGGGATGGGAACAGTCTTTTTTCAGTGGTGCCCAGTGATAGGACAAGAGGTAACTGGCACAAACTTGAACATAGGAAGTTCCATCCTAACATGAGGACTAAGTTCTTTACTTTGAGGGTGGCAGAGCACTGGAACAGGCTGCCCAGAGAGGTTGTGGAGTCTCCCACTCTGGAGACATTCAAAACCCGCCTGGACGCCATCCTGTACAACCTGCTGTAGGTGAGAATGCTAGAAAGATGCAGAGATGCTGTGTTTCAGGACTTCTGACAATCTCTAAGGATGTCATGACATTAGACTTTAGAGAAAGTTAATTTTCTTTGCTGTTTCACAGCAGCAACAGCCAAGAAGGATGAAGAAGAATTTATTAACCTTTTTTGATTTGCACCATCTTTGACAGTTGTTCCCTATTATGTGACAAGATCAGATCATCAATGAAGATAGACAATAGTTAAATCTGTTCAGCAGCAGGAGAAGTGCTTCTATTTCTTGGCATATTATTAATATGAAAGACTAACAGATTACAAAGCCAGTCTATAGAATTTTTGCTAAAGCCAGTAATTACAGGACAAAGAGCATCAGTGGAATGCCAAGATCATTAATGACAAGCCTTATCTGACTATCTACTGAGTCTGTCTAGGAAATGAGGTTGAGAGTCATCTTCTTTCATAATTAAGGGAGCGGAGTTCCTGTGGAATTTCTGTGCTGGATATGGCCCTACCAAAGGACACCTCAATTAGTGTAAACTGCAGAGGATAACCTTGGTAAAAATTAATTAACATTTATAATACACAAATCTTAGAACACAAAAGATATACTATAAAGGAAACCCTAAACCTACTGTATATTGTTCAGTTGGAATTACGTTTGAACTATGCTAATTAAAAAAGTGGAAAGAAAAGAGGTGCATATTTTATTATACATATACTTACTTAAGAAAAGCAAGCAATGTAGAATGCTGCTGGTGGAGCTGTAACATTCGTTCAACTGGATCAAGGGGCAATGACTTGCTCGATGTAATGCCTGGTAACAACTGTCCACTCAGATGGAATAACATGTCATAAACAGTCTTAGTATCTTTGCCAAGGTTTTGTTTAAAACCTGTTTCTTGTGAAGAGGTCATCTGGTCTTTACACACATCACTAAGGGAGAAAAAGCTTCTGGTATTATTCTTTTAAATGCACAAAACAACCTAACATTTTATATATAGATAGATATATATATCTCACAATGATAAATTTAATAAAGCAAGTAGTAAAAACAGCAGCAAGAAGACTGAAAAGTATAGCACTTTTTTCTTTTTAGAGAACTTTCATAATAATGTAAGAACTGAACTGTGTGGAATATTTAATAAGTATATGTGAAATATTTCATAAATAAATTTTTGTTTGTCACTGCTTTCTGCCAAACATAACTTTGATTTCTATCATGTTTATAAATGCCTATGTGTTTGTGTCCCAGAAGATTGGCTTCTTTGCTATTTAGTAGCAAGCTAGATAGTGGCATCACTTAGTTGATCTTAAGACTGATGTTTCCAGGGTGTTTTCAAGACTGCCGATTATGAAATTTGCTTTCCCATCTGTTTCTTGATCTCAGAGTATGTAGGGGAAAAGAGACATATTCATAAAACACTTATTTATGACACCAAAGAAGGGACAATTGCTAGAACTGTGTTCATTCTGGGAGGACAATCAATTTCAGTTAACAGGGTGATATATACTTTGAACTGCATATTTAACATACACTGCCTTAGGATATAGTAGAGCATCATAGTTGGAAATATATTTTAGAAAATGAAAAATAACACCTGAATGACATTTTCATATGAACAGCACACAGATGCTATGATTTTAATTTATAACTGTGCATTAGAGTATGTTTATATTCCTCAGATTGTATCCAAAACACTTTAGTATATATGTTAACATTTTATTAGGCACACATAAGTTCACTTTAAGCAGATACGAATTACCGTCTTAGTGAATATGGTATTGAAACAGGATTTTGTCCCTTCGACCAACCAAAGAGAGTGAACCAATTCTTAACAGCAGTTAGGGTTTTCTGAAAGAAGATGTACTCCTCTTTATCTTCATCAGGAAAAAATGACAATTCAAATTTATTTTCTCTCCCATCACTTTGACTGTCAGCTTCACTCTCATCACTCATCTTTTCATCACTCTCACTTTCAAACGTAGAATCTGACTCTGAATGATAAAAAAAAAAACACACAGAAAAATTCCCTATTTCACTATTTTTGTCTAGTACAAACCCAATATTTTTTAACACATAAATGTTTTCAGAAAACAAAAAACTGTTAGACAATGAATGATCAACTTATTTCAGGAGTAAACAATTTAAGTGACACGTACACATCTTGGGAATAGAATAAGTTATATTCTTGGAATCTAATTTCACTTGAAGAAAAAAAATATTACCCAATCAGAAAAAATAATTTCAGCAACAGCTTACAAAACCACAGACAGTGTTCTTAAAGAAAAAGTCTTACATATAGTTCCAGTAGTTTAGCTTTACCAGCTAGTCAATGTCTAGTTCCCCACTCCACTCACATAGCATGGCTCAAAAACTGTTTGAGCACAAGTCAGTTAATCAGGTATTGTATACATATAACTAAGCCTATATCCCGATCTATAAGCCTTTGGACTTTTCTTCCCTCTGTTAGGCTTTCTCTCTCCTAAATTCTGACCTGGTCAAAACTTAGATTACATATTTTAACAACTAGTAGTTGTTAACAAAATCAACAACAATATTATCGCATAAAAGATAGCAATGGAATAATTTTCCTCATAGCACAAATAACTTGGAGGATTTCATCCTTGAAGGTGTATTTCAATACCACTGTTGCAGTTTTAATGTTTCTTTAAATGATGCAAAAATAAAACTATTACCTTGGATAGTGAATAAAAAATCTTGTTAGGATTTAAAAACAAAAAACAATACAATACGGAGGAAGAGACTCGTCCTTTTTAAGATCATCATGCGGTCAGATCTGAGTTTGTGCAATCCTGCCAGCTGACAAGATTACTTTCCTCATCTTGTCACTGCTACCTTCACCAGAGTTTATTGCCTTGTCAGATCTGAAACTGAGTTAGTCTTTTGAACTCTTCTTACATCATTCCATTAAAAATGAATCATGTTAGTAAAGAGCTACTATTTAATCTGTTTAACTACCCCTATTTGTCTTGGTAATACCTAGAGAATGATCACGCAAACATCAGCAGATCTGCAAGAGTGGAATCCTAGCAGTGATGAAACAGCAGCAGTAATTTCTGCTGTTCTAACTTCCTAGTTGGAAAACTAGCAGCTGAAAGAAGAGAGATGTCAACAGCCTCAGATACTAGCCACGTGACAACCTTACAGAAGTTCTATTACTCTTAGTTCATATGCAGCAGCACCTTAACTGAGCCCTTGTATCAGGTTTGCGTGGCAACGTTTTGGTACCGGTGGAGGCTACACAAGTGGCTTCTGTGAGAAGCTGCTTAAAAGTTTCTCTATGTCCAACAGAGGCAATGCCCGCCAGCTCCAAGACGGACTTGCCACTGGCCAAGGCCGATCCAGTCAGTGACAGTGGTAGGACCTGATAACATATTTAAGAAGGGGAAAAAACTGCTGTGCAACAGCAGCTGGAGAGAAAAGTGAGAATATGTGAGAGCAACAACTCTGCAGACACCGAAGTCAGTGAGGAAGGAGGGGGAGGCAGTGCTCCAGGCGCTGGAGCAGAGATTCCCCTGCAGCCCGTGATGAAGACCATGGTGAGGCAGGCTGTCCCCCCGCAGCCCATTGGAGGTTAACAGTGGAGCAGAAATCCACCTGCAGCCCATGGAGACGCCATACTGGAGCAGGTGGATGCAACTGAAGGAGGCTGTGACCCCATGGAGGGCCCACACTAGAGCAGGCTCCTGACAGGACCTGTGGACCCATGGAGAGAGGAGCCCACGCTAGAGCAGGTTTGCTGGTAGGAATTGTGACCCCGTGGGGAACCCACACTGGAGAAGTTTGTGAAGTGTAGCCCACAGAAAGGACTCACGTTGGAGAAGTTTGTGGAGGAACATCTCCCATGGTGGGACCCCTCACTGGAGCAGGGAAGTAAAGTTGAGCCCAGAAGAAGGGAGGGGTGGGGGAAGGTGTTTAAAGACTTATTTTTTTATTTCTCATTATCCTCCTCTGATTTGATTGGTAATAAATTAATTTTCCCCAAGTCAAGTCTGTTTTGCCTGTGACAGTAACTGCTGAGTAATCTCTCCCTGTCCTTATCCAAACCCATAAGCATTTTGTTATATTTTGTCTCCTCTGTTGAGCTTAGGAGGGGAGCGATAGAGCAGTTTCAGTGGGCACCCGGCATCCAGCCAGGGTAAACTCACCACAGCCCCACTGACAATGGTTGTTTTAATACAGTACTTGATAAATGCAATAAAATTGTAAAAGTCTAACCTGAGCGTACAACTAGACCTTTGCAGAATATAGCATGTTTACAGAGGGTATATAGTTGGTTTGTTCATGACTACAGAAGCAATACTCTTGTCAGGAACTAATCCCTTAGGTTTGTTCAGTAGTTATTTTCCTCCTGGCTCCTCCATGGACATGTTATTTCAAAAAGGGACCTTGACATTTTTTGGTGGGTTGTGGGGTTTTTTTTGGTAGATTTTGTTTGGTTGGTTTGGGGGTTTTTTATTACTAGTTTGACTGATTTCCCCTCCACTTAGTCTGCTAAAATGAAGGAGAGTGTTTTCTGCTTCTATACTCTAGGCCAGGTTTCCCATGGTGTTACAGAAGAGGACAGCCTCCCCAGTATTCACTGATCGCATGTGCAGAAGCATTTCAGGCAAAGCTTACAAATGTGAAACATAGTTCTTTAAAGGAGTAAGCTGAAAAGCAATTGTAAGAGCTCAAAATGTTTAAAGTGAACAGCAGCACTATACCTGATTGAGAATCTTCATAGGTTGAGGCAGTGGTTGCACCAAAGGAACTTGAGGAACTACTATGGGAAAGTGACTGTGGAGTACAACATGGATGCAGAACAACTTCTCCCCTACTGCATTCCTTACTGTCTATAAAACAAGATTACAAGCTGCAGTTGAGAAAACATATTTTATTGTCTGTGCTTTAAAAGTTTATAAACTGTTATCTGCTTCTATATTTTTCTATTTTGTGCTTCAATTAATCAAGTAACAGTTCTTATTTGACTCACAATGAAAATCTCACTTTGGTCATTAGACCGCGGACAAAAAAAAAAAAAATTACCTGCACATTTTTCCCATTAACTCTATGTTTTACAGGATAGGTCTTCCCACGTGCTGAAAAGCACCTATCAGAACAGTGCTAATTCAAAAATTCTAAGTAATGAACAAAATATTCTTAAGGAATTTTTGATCCCAGCTCTGTAATGAGTCTCAACATACCATTATCAATCTCTTTCAGACTCAACAACACAGATTTTTACAAACCATACTCAAAAGTTTGCTCTATCAATCCATTAGTTCTGTCAGAACATCTATTCTGACATTCTCATGTTGGCCTATGATAGGATTAGAGGACCCTCTGCTAGCTATCTCTGACGTCAGTCTCCAGAACGAGAGTAGAAGAAGAACCCAGTGTATTGTCTAGAGAAGTAAACACACCAGTAAGAGAAGGAAGAAATCCATATGATTATCTTTAATTTTTGATTGCTGGCACTATTATTTGTATGGTTTGGAGCAAATAACCCAAGAGCATGTTGTCAGATATGTGGAAGCAAAGCCTTCTTGAATAGTTTTCAAAGCCACTGTATTGTATAGATATGGTTTGGTCAAATTAAACATCATTCCACAACAAAATAGTCTATACAAAACCACATAAAATAGACTCTAGAAATTTAGTGGTAATGACTTGCTTCAAAACTGATAGTGGAAACAAACCAATAAACAAACAATATAGAACAGACATATCTCATTATTAATGGGAAACCAGTTCTTATAAAATCATCACTCCATTTTTGGCTTAATCCTCAAGGGAAAGCTACAAAGTATCTTCAAAAGAGAAGCTTGCAAAAAAATGATCTATCGGTCACAAGAAAATATAAAAATCATCACACGTTTACAAAAGATAATACTTTTCCCCCTTTCCTATCTTCATTTAATTGTGCTATGAACCATTAATTATATGGTACCTATAAAGATAATACTTTTCCCACTTTCCTATCTTCATTTACTTGTGTTATGAACCATTAATTATATGGTACCTATGCCTATCTTCTATAGGGAAAAAAAAATCATGACCTGTTGTCTTGCTAATCCCTTTTTCAACTTCACAAGTACAATCTCTCTTTTCTCTTAGATAGTCTGAGTAACATACTTATTTAGCTAATGCAGTCTTAGAATTCACAGTTTTCGAAGCTAAATCTATTTCAGACCTAATGACTTGCTTACCTAAAAAACTTGTCTATTTCATCAAAATATATCAGATCCCAACAACTATAAAAAATACAATAGTTTACCCCATACTCGAACCTGCTTTGAGCAGGAGCTTGGACTAGATGACTCCCAGAGATTCCTTCCGACCTGAATTATACAATGATTCTAACCTCTACCCGTAAGCATAGCTACACATAAAGAGATTACAGACCACTGAGGCAGGCAGAAAGGGAGAAGGGAGCAGGAGACAGGCAGAGACAGGGCGGGGGAGGGCAGGGTGATGGTGACACAGGCAGAGATGTAGAAACAGAGAGGCAGGCAGAGACACATTGCACATAAAAATAATTCTAGTCTCTGACTGCAGGCTTTTATTAGCCCTTAAAATATCACTATCTTCTCCAGCCTTCCAGGCCAGTAATTATAAAAAAATGAAACCTACTTCCAGGAGGCAAATAATGATTGCATTTTATCATAACATCACGTAGCTTTCTTGCCTTTTGCTTTCTTCAAAGCATATCCAACTGTTGTCCTAGGAATTTTTGATGATCACTCATTATATAATTTAAATTATGTTCATTTATTCTCTACTTTTTGGTCTGTTTTTCTCTACTCATACTTTAAAAACTTCACAAAACATACTGTAAGATTTAGGCTTGTCCAATATTTTTTCAATAAATATTACTTATTCATTTATAAGTTTTCCTCATTTTGAACAAGGAAACAGAAGCTATTAAACAGTTTTAAAATTTCATTGCAGTATCCCCTTGTAATTAATGAGTAGAAATGCTGTCTTGATGATAACATCCCTGTTATCACACTGAAAATATTAAAATTATATTATGTCTAGTAGTATTATTAAGAGGCAGAGTGTTGACTGCTTACTGCTTCTCAAGATAATTTGTTGATCCGAGCGGTGAAATGCCAAATACGGGTATAAAGTAAGAAGGCAATTCTCTGCTGTTGCAGCAACTTGAATTGAGAACCTGTCCAAAACAAAATACAGAAGTTATAGTTTTCTATTTAGCCATGGTAATCGAGATATTTCAGCACAAAAATAAAAGACAGAATGAAGGTGTCCAGATAACTTTTCCCTTCTGTTCTGGTTCAATAGAATACACAGATGGGACCAAACATGACAAAATGCTGAAGTTTAGTATAGTATTTCCACTGCATAGTTTTAATATGAGCATGTATCATTAATCTGAACGTCCAAGACTTAGCAGAGATTTCATGAAATAAATGAACTCTGTCTCTCTGAAAAAACAATTAAAATTACATCTGACATTTATGAGTATGGAGGAGAGAGACAGGAGTTAGCAGGAGACTGCTACCTTGCTAAATATATCCTATAACTTTTGACAGGGGAAGTTTTCTTGAAAAACAACTTCTATTTTGATTTAATGTTTATTCTACAAGACTTTACAGGAATCTCAAAATAAATAGATTCAATTTAAAAACAATGAGATATTGACTGCAATTGCTAGAATATAATAGAAATTGATGTACATGTCCTAGTGTTCACTAGAGTGTCTGCACAGTCTGTAGCAGCCATATTAATGTGTAGCAATCCACCTTTTAACCCTTTTTTCATACTTCACCTCAATCTCTCAGGGTGTACTCAACAAGCAAATTATTGCCATCCATTGATCCGTGTTAGCCGTCTGTATGTAAGTTCTTAGCTCATTGCAACTGACAGGTAATGCAACTGACCCGAGTCCTATGTTATTACATAGCTGGTTTCTTACTCCACATTAACTTATCAACTAACATTAATAAACTATTTTGACTAAGCTGTCAAAAATACAAAGAAAAACGCAGTTTAATATTTCTAACAGCATACTGATATCCATCAGGCTTTAGTATATTAAGAATTATGCATATTGAAAATATACCTTGCACAGGATAAAAGAAAATATTTACTATTTTCTTTAAATTACATATTGAAGAATAAATTCCTATTTAATGTAAATTTAGAGTAAATATTAAAAGATATAATAAGACCTTTCTGATTAATTTCTAATATAACATAATTAGCTTCTACTGCTTTGTTATAGAATAACACAATCAAGGAAAATAGGAATACTTTAAAAGTACTGGAAAGTAGCTTTTCTTTCCTCTTTCATGCTTCCCTCTCCAAACACAACATTCTTAGCTTCTGCTTTCAGGGGAATTTTATTAAATAGAGAAAGGCTCCAACAAAATCCATAGCCATCTTTCTTATTTGTAAATATTCACATTTGGATTTTAATTTCATAGCTAACAGTTGTTTAAATCAATAATCCAGCCCTGTAATGTTTTGGTTTGTTCTTAGGACATCTCAATCCTATTAGAACTTGGCTGGGAGCAGGGCAAGGGCCTTGGCCAGTTTCACCTTGTAGCATAGTATTTCTTTTAGCTAACTTCTGCTTTTATTCAGCAAAAATCTAAGCAGCAGGACAGCAGCAAGACAGATGGCTACGACAGGTATATCAACATCTATCTGTATGTACAAAATGTCCATCTTTTTCTACCTTTACCAAGCCATTTAAAGACACACACGATCAGTAACAACAACACAGAAAAGGTTGCCAGCTTCCAACTTGTGACTTTACTGTGATAAATGACAGGTCTCAATGCTCTGCAGGCATACGTTAGATGAACTTCAGAGAGTAGGATTTGGGACAGGGGTGGAAGAAAGCTGTATGAAGGTTAATGTAAGACATAGCTCTCAAGTTATATGAAAGTAACTCAGATGGCTGTATTATCGGATTCAGTCAACTTTCCGATTTCTCAGTTTGAGGTGAGCACCTCAGCCATCTCCATCCTCAATGCTGATTTGAGATTTGGGCATATGCCAAATCTTCATTCATGCTCTGATGTGCACAGTAATGCAACACAGATAAGCGTGCTTGAGGACAACTGCAGTACATCTTAACTCGTTACCCAAATTCAATGAGTGATGCTACTCAAAGCAAAGGTACTACTGCAGAATCTAGAAGATAAAGAAAAGCCATTGCTACAGAACATCTGTGTGCAAATAAAGGCCTCAGACACCACAGTGCTGCTGCAAGAGAAGCTCCTCCCAGCTCCATGCTGCTAATGATCCAACAAGGTCACGCCTCCTTGCCTGCTGTGGTATTATAGTAAGAGAAACCAATACACCCATCCAATAGCAAATGCAACGCAAATATATTCTTAACTAAGAAATTCAGAAGTTTCAGAGTGTTCATAAGATGAAAAATTGGATAAAGCAGCACCTCTGCTGGCTGAGCACGAGCTCTGAAACAACACAAGGAAACTGAAAATTACAGTCATGAGTCAATCCCTGCTGCATGGGACAGTGAACCTCATTTGCCAACCTGACGCCTCATCTAGGGAGGTTTGCTGCCGGGGTTTTGATTTAGGACGCTGTTGAAAGATCGATGCCACTTGTCTGACCCTTGGCCCTGCTACTTTTCCACATAGGTACCAGTGAAGTTGATAAGGAAACCTGGAACAGATCAAGCACAGCTTTGGGGCAATGATCAAGGGAATGTGGCATAGCTGGTCTTCTCTTCAATCATGCTGGTGAAGTAAAAGATCTTGAGAATGAGTGAATGGATCCTGCAAGTCAACAACCGTTTCTGCAGCTGATATTGACAGCAAGAATTCAGCTCCTGTGACCATGGATCTACCATGGCTGCAGTGACCATGACATGGTGGAGTTCAGGACTCCGAAAGGAGGAAAACAACACAAAAAGCTGTATCACAACACTGGAATTCAGAAGAGCAGACTTTAGCCAGCAAAGAGCCACAAGGTTGAAGAAGGGACTGAAGAACCTGTTATATGGGGAGAGACAGAGTTGTGAGTGTTCAGCCTGGGGAAGAGAAGGCTCAGGGGGATCTTATCTACGTGTATAAATATCTGATGGGAGGAAGTGAAGAAGATGGAGCCAAA